GCTAGACGTTCGGCGGTAGACGCGCGTTAGCACGGCGCAACCGAGCAAATGACAGTCCGGAATGAGTCTGGGCTGAGAAGAGGACCAGCATGCTTCACCTTCAGTTAACCCGGAGAGTTTGGACCAGGATGGTGGTCGGCGTGTGCCCGACCGGATAGCTCGGAACCTCGGTCGTGTTCTTTGTGGTTGTGATTTTCTCCAAGGAATAGGCCGGTCTTGGTACGCTGGTCAGGTGTGCCACTTAGGCTAATGGCGTGAGGGAGAGGAAATCTGCTCCAGGCATGCGTCAGTACCGTTTGGCAGTTTTGCATGTACTGGATGGAGGATTTGGCCTTTACACGCGTAAGGTGGTGGGAGGCGAGCACTGCCACTTGTCTAGGGAAGGACAGCAGTGGTAGTGCGCGCACAATCCTGAGGCTGCATGGCTAGCCTAGAAAAAGGAAGGGAAGATGAACATTAGAGGTAAGCAATTGATGCCATCTGAAACACATTCTCTCTCTCTCTAATAGCCTTCTTCTTCCTCAAGTGATCTGACTTGATCGTCGGAGGGTCTATCCGGCAATCCACCGCCGGGCAGCTCACCGTTTCTGTGTTGCCAGGTTAGACGCCGTCACGTGAATCTTGAATCCAAGGAGTACGGAAGCAGAGGATATTTCGCCCCCGTACAGTATATCATTTTTATAAATAAATTATCGATATGTCTCATTGTTTGAAAAATAGAATGAAAACGACCCAAGTTCTTTATTTCTTTAATGAGGATATCACATAGGAAATTCTATTTTCACACACTTAATTATCTTAATTCACATCATTTCTCAATACACACATTTTATAATTTAATTATTAATTTATTTTCTCAATCCACACACTAAAAGTATCAATTATATCATTTACTTATGCCATTATACACACATCCCTTCAACTCTCATTCCACACACTTGTCCCTCCTTCAAAATTTTGGCTATTCAGATCAAACCTATCCTTTAATCCAAACTTGTTCAATTTCTCACCCGATTTCGATCGTTCTTCATCACAATTCCCATCAGAAATGGTGCTCCCTCTCCTCTTTCGTCCACTTGATTGATTAGGCCTTAGACTTAAATCCAACAGTGATAGTGCAACAGAGTTGTCATTACACTTTTCTTGCATTCTCCCCGAGCTCTCTGACGGTGATTCTTTTCTGTGCCTTTCGGGCTTGGATCTCCAATGTTGATAAATAAATAAAAAATCCTCAACCCAATTCTAAAAAAAAAAAAAAAAAAAAAAAAAAAAAGCCTCAGCCCAATTCTTCAATCTTCTTTGTTAATTTCAGTTCTTCAACCCAATTTTTTAATCATAAACCAAATAGCATTTTATGTTGATAAGAAGATAAACAAAAAATAATCAATCATAAACCAAAAATAATCAATCATAAACCAAAGAGCATAACACATTTACTATTTTTTTGAGGACTGTGTTTCACTAATTAACAATCCTCAACCCAGTTCTTCAATCTTCTTAGTTAATTTTAGTTGAATCCAAAAAAAATAAAAAATAAAAATAAAAATTGCAATCTCTCCCAACAATGTAACAACAATGGAAAAACTAGGGTTTACTTTTTTTTTTTAACTCAAAATGTGTACATTGAGATTTTTTTGTTCTTAAAAGATGTGTACAGAGAATTTTTTCACATAATATTATGGATATTATTGGATATCTATTATGATCATTTTTATTTATGATATAATTATTATTAAATTAATATTTCATTAAGTGTTTGCCCATATCACATGGATGGTAGTGGTGTGATTGAAGCATAGCTATCATACTGTGAGTCAGCTAGCCCAATGAAAAAAAAGAGAGAAAAGTGTGAAAGAGAAAATGGAAGAACCAAAAGTTCTCTATCCCTTTATTCACACCATGAAGCACATGTCAATTCCAATACAGCACATCTTCTCTTCATTTTTTTGCTTTTATTTTTTTCAATTCTGCTTAAAGATGTTAAATAGTCTATATCTATTTGATTTGAGAATTTCGTCGAATACTCAGCATGTTATACTAGTGTTTTTTTTTTTTTTTTTGCGTCTAACAAATACTTGGCATGTTGCATGAAAAATAATATGTATTTCTGACTCTCAAGTATGTGGTGTTCCTTGATTCCATTTAATTGTGTGAAAGAACAGATTGAACATATTAATGAGTAGTTGGAGAGAGAAAAGAAGCAAAGCCCCAAGAAGACTAACCATTTTAGAATCCTTGGGACACTTGCTGAAAAAAGAAAAACGTGAACCCACGTTTAGGCTAGAAAGGTAGTGGAAGTTTCCTCATGAGCTGCGACGAGACTTAAAGGCTTCCATGGCGTGGAAAATGTGTGTGGATAAAGATAAGCTAGTCATGACTTAATAAAAAAAGACTTTAAAGGAGACGGTAGTTTAGTTAGTATTTTTAAGTTAAGCAAGTCATGAGGACTTAAAGGACTTCCACTGGAGACAATAGTTCATTTTCATGTAACATTTGGAAGATAAGCTAGTCATGACTTACATGACCATGATCGTGGGGTTATTTATCCTTGTGAAATTTGTATATTCCAGTAGTCCTCTGGATCATTTCATGTTTAATGGATACGCACTGAAGCTGGTTGGAAGTGCAAAGCTTGATTCCAATGGCCTATTCACGCTAACCAATACTACAATGCAAGAGATCTGTCGCGCTTTCTACAACTTTCCGCTCCAATTCAAGAACTCCACAAACGACGGTAGTGTCATCTCCTTCTCTACCACTTTCATTTTTGCAATTGTACCGGAGTACCCAAGACTTGGTGGCCATGACCATGGATTGGCCTTTGTTGTTTCTGAGAAATATTAATATTGAGAGAGAGAGAGAGTGATTGAAAGACTAAACATAGACTTTTTTTATTTCAATGTCTTAAGCCTTACAATGCTACTCCATTATATAGGAGGTTTATACAATATGATCAGATGGAGGCCACGAGGCCACGAGGCCAACACAAACAAGCAGGCCACGAGGCCACTACATATTAATATATATTATATCTATATCAGCATACACTCACCGAAAGCATATGAATTAAATAAAGCATATGAATTAAATAATCACCGAAAGCATTGATGCATATGGCATCTGATGAAAACGTGGCTTGATTTTCAACAGTTTCACCTTCCAAAGAGCTCCAAGGAGCTCTACCTTCCCAATATATTGGGATCTTCAATAATACCAACACTGGGCTTCGTTCAAATCATATTGTTGCTGTTGAGCTAGACACCTACCAAGACCTCGAATTCGTGGACATAGATGACAACCATGTTGGCATCGATATTAACGGCTTGCAATCAATCAAGTCTGCTAGTGCAGGTTACTTTCCTACATGTGAAAATGATACCTTTAAACATCTAAACCTCAAAAGCGGTGGGTGGAATATAATGGAGTAGACAAGCAACTTAACGTTACCCTTTCTCCAATTAATGTACCCAAGCCTGACCTCCCACTCTTATCCTTGACGCAAGATCTTTCACCAGTCCTGCATGACTACATGTAGGTAGACTTTTCAACCTCCACAGGTTTACCTACCTCATCCCATTACATACTAGGTTGGAGTTTTAAGATGAATGGTCAGGCTGAACCAATCGACCGGTCTCGCCTTCCCAAGATCCCCGGGACACCACAAGTGAAAGAAAATAAAAAGATAATGTTGGCATTGGCAATTGTTTTTCCCTTCATAGGACTCCTTGTACTCCTAGCCCTCACCTTTGGTGCTCTGCTAATTACGAGGAAGAAAAAGTTCACAAAAGAGCTGGAGGATTGGGAGTTCCAGAGCGGCCCTCATAAATTCAGTCATAAGATTCTATCCATGGCGACAAAGGGTTTCAAAGAGGGAGAACTTCTTGGCAGGGGAGGCTTTGGTAGGGTGTACCGGGGTGTGCTACCAACATCGAATATTCAGGTTGCTGTCAAAAGAGTTGGCCACGATTCAAGACAAGGAATGAGGGAATTTGTAGCAGAAATTGCAACCATAGGCCGGCTGCGCCACCCAAACTTAGTCCGCCTCCTTGGCTATTGCCGGCATAAGCAAGAACTCCTCTTGGTTTATGATTTCATGCCCAATGGAAGTCTTGACAAGTTTCTTTATGGCCAACCCAAGGGGATGCTAAATTGGATGCAAAGATTTAAGATCATTAAAGATGTAGCATCAGGCCTCTTCTATTTGCACCGCCAATGGATACAGGTTGTCATTCATAGAGATATCGAGGCCAGCAATATCTTGATAGACAATGACTTCAATGCAAGATTAGGGGATTTTGGGCTTGCCAAATTATGTGACCATGGAACCGATCCTCAAACCTCCCATGTAGCCGGTACCCTTGGCTATATTGCACCTGAGTTGGCTCGTACTGGAAAAGCAAATACAAGCACTGATCTGTTTGCATTTGGGACATTTATGCTAGAGGTTCTCTGCGGTAGAAGGCCGGTGGAACACCAGGCTTCTTTTGAGAAGATAATTTTGATAGATTGGGTGTTTTAGTGCTTGGAAAGGGGAAACATTCTTGAGGCCATTGATCAATGCCTAGTAACTGAGTATGTGGTTGAGGAAGCTGAGTTGGTGTTGAAGCTGGGGTTGCTTTGCTCACATACTGTGGGTGCAGCTAGGCCGAGCATGTCTGATGTGGTAAAATACTTGGAAGGTGAAGCTCAACTACCTGATAACTTGAGAGATATAATTAAGTCTCGGGATTTCAGTGAAGTCACAAATGGACAGGATGTGGCACCAATTTCTGTTCCATCAGTAACAATCACAGAGCCATTCGTCTCTAGAGGCCATTGAATTACTTGATCTCTTTTAACAGCAGCTGCTCTGTAAGATTTGAGCTATTTTCTAGATTTTGATTTAGTCATCTAATGGTTATCAGCAAGTCTTTGTTCATCTAAGTAAGTATATAAACTCTGCCTTTTGCAATTTTTATTCTCATCCCTTTCATATTCTTCTTGAAGTCAATAAATCCCATTCATGCTTCCACTACCCCAACATGCATATCCATCAATGAAGTGTGGGGATGTAAAATGCTGTTTAAAATTAGATGTGCAATGCTACTGGTTGCAGGCTGGTGGTGAATATTCATGAAATTGCAAATGTGAAAGCTCCCAAAATCTATTATATACTCTGCCTCTTTTTATACATATCAAAAGCCAAACTATCTGATTGAACATTGGTTGTTGTCTTTGATTGCCTTCAATGTTTTCTTATACATATTGGATGTACTCACAAGGCTACTGAACTAAAATGTATGTTTGTCATTATTCAACATAATGTTGAAGTAAACTTATCAAATTAGAGATAACAATGTATTAATTGATCATTCAATATTTTTCTAATAGATAGAAACAAAAAAACAAGGATTGAATCCTTATATGAACATTTTACAAAATCTCACAAACGAAGGCATCCAACAAGGTACCGTTTTGACAATCAAGTTATCGATTAACTCAGCAATCAAAGTCACATCTTCATTTGGCAGATCAAGCTGTTCCACTGTCTCACCAGCAATTAACAATGTCGTATCCGCATCAAGATCAAACATGAACTCAATTTTTGTCACCTGACCATACATGTAAGCAATACACGTCAAGATCAAACACAATCATGATCACTTCGGGTAGGACTCATGTGAATTGTGAGATTATACAAATCTTTAACGGGCCCCATTTGAAAATGAGCTGAAAAAATACATATTTTCAATGCTTAGACTTGTAACATTTGAGGTCCAAAAAAGAGAAGAACATGAAACCAGTTGTGGCAACTCACCAAAGAAGTTTTTCACCCAAGAAAAAAAAAAAACAGAAAACTTCTCTTTTATGAAAACAAAAAACAAGAAACTTGCGACAATGTCAAGCAACCCCCTAGAAACCATTTGTTAATTGTTTGTTGCCAATCTATTATTTATAGAAGCCAGAAGGAAAGAATAGAAGAAAGGGAAAAATTAGTTATATTTTCTAAATATAATTTTATATTATTTATAACACGATTTCACAAAACAACAATCACATAGTTTGGTAGCAATATTATTAATTTTGTTGAACTATTTTGTAAAATAGAGAATTGCACTAAATGGAGTTGCTTTTCTAAAAACAAGATCCTCAAATTAGCCTCAAGATATAATGAGTAAAGTTTGGTTGTAAATTGAGACAAAAGTCGAGTTATACATAAGAAGAGCTGACTCCTTTGCTTGACTAAGATCCATCAAACCATCTTCTCTTCTCTATAGCCTAATCATGAAGATTTTATCATTTCCTTCATTCATCTTTGTTTTGACAATGTTTCAAACTTTGGTTGCGATTGATCTACTAACATAAACATGTTACGAACTTACGAGGCAGATCCAAATACTGAGCTTTGTCTCTCAATTATAAACTCAGACCATCGAAGCAAAAATGCAAATTTACAAGGGCTAAGTCTCATTTCGTTTTCTTAAACTTCACGACTGAGTTTATTAAATCCAACCAAAGTTGCATCAAAAGGTAAAAGCTGCTTTAACTAAGTGTAAGGAACTGTACATTCCAGTTGTGAGAGTTCAGTTCCCAAAAATTAATCAAGCCATAAATTGAAAAAATTGCAAAGCTACTGCAAATGCATTTGACAAAGCTAGTCGTTGGAGGTGGAGACGTAGACTAGGTTTGAAAAATGTACTAGACAAAGTGTCAGCAAATATTACAAAATACATTTGGGATCAAAACATTGTTACAGATTACATGGAAGTAAGCTATGCTGTTTTATTGCAATGGATGCGGTAAAAAATTCACTTTTATGTGAACTCTAAGCTATAAATTGAAATAATAACAAAACAATAACTATGAAGTGTTGCATCATTCTCGTTGTTCACTTGATTATAGATATAAAAGTTTCAAATTGATTTATTTTTATAAAATGCAAATCCATATATAAATGTTATGACATGTCCAAAAAATACCTAATGACATGAAGAAGGTATAAATAATTAAGGGAAATTACAACAATAACAAAAAAAATCTCAAGTATGACCCTTATAATAAATTTAGAATTTTTAATTTTACTATTTAAATCCTAATTTTTTTATTTGTTTTCAATCTAAATTATCTGATTATTTTCATTAAGTAAAACTAATGAAAAAGTGTATTTTTTTTTATTTTTTTTTTTGTCTTTATTTAATCTTTTAATTTATTATTATTATTATTTATTTTTGGAGACTTCTAATCTACTCTAAGGTCTAAAATTAAGAGTTTACTAGAATTTTTTTTAATTTACTACAAATAAATAAAAATCAATGAACACTTGTACTGGTGGAGGATTGAGAAGTCCAGTCCAGAATGACCCTTACAAATTCAATCTTAAAATGGTTAGTCTCCTAGTCTCTTCTTTCACACAAATTCATAAAACACCACATACATGGCCTTTTTCCATTTAAACGTGCGAAGTGTGCGTAAAAATTAGGTGCGTAACTCGGTTAGGTCGGGTTGAGAGGTTATTTAAACCAATCTTATGTTGAGATCTATTCAGATTCAAATTGTAACTTGAAGTTGTTTGTCTAAATCTAACCTTGAGTTAAATTTGAAATGTTCGAGTTACCTGAATTGCCCAAATTGTAAATAATTTTTTTTTCTTTTTTTTTTCAACAAAATTATTAAAATTAGACTTTATTTACATTTTTTTTACAAAATCATTAATAACATCAAAAACAAATAATTTATATAATGTAAAAGAGATGTCGTTATAGTAATCTTTACAATTAATGACTCAGAATAAAAAAATATAAAATTTTGTGTTACTTGTATATATAATATATATTCAATATGATTTAATAATCTAAATTACATTAATATCATATAATGGCTAATATTTTATATGTATTCAATATTTTTATATATGTATATATGTATAATTCAAGTTTTGAATTGCTCGAGTTGGTTAATGTCGTTATCCAAACTCTCTCAAATTTAATTTGAACTTCTAAATTTTTGTCTAAGCTTGTACGAATTTAAAAATATCTTATCTAAATTTAAAAAAAAAAAATTCAAGCCAAACTCGGATTGTTCGGATTAAGCCCATCCAAATTGCACGCCTAGTCAAAATTCCCAAATGAGGTTGTTGACACAAAAAAACACAAATGTACACGCTAAGTGTTCGATAAAATTCCCAAATAATGGATAATAGACTATGGATGTAACAAACGTATGGTTTATGCAGTTATTGAAGGGATGAAGAACTTTTGGTTCTTTCTTTTTAATCAAAAAGTAAAAAAGGTTACCAAATTATTATTTTTAACTTTTTGTATGACTTTTTATAAAAAAAATTGATTCTCAAACACTCCTTTAAAATTGTGTAGAAATAAAAACTCCACATGGCACTGACGTATCACATGAAAAAGACCAAAATTACTTTTACCAAAAACAAAACAAACCAAAAAACTATTACATTTCCTTTCTTCATCATCATATAATCTGGGTCATCACCATCTCATCATTCATATCTAATGCCTCATCGGTAATATTACAAATTCAGATTTAATTATTTAAAATTATTATCTAATAGTTTAGATTTATTTGATATATAGATTTCACATTATACAAATTCAATTTCAACTGCACATTATCATTCTGGATAAATTTAGGGATCATAAGTCTGCATCCCCAGAATTATTCATGCCTCATGCAATTTTTTCTTATTAGTTTTAAAAAATTAAATAACTCTTCTTCGAATACGACGGTGCTGGCAAAGTTCAATATTTCGATGAGTTTCTGTTAGTTCCTCTTCTTCCTCTTTCGTTGAATTTTTTTTTTTTTCCAGATTTCTTGCGAGTTTTCTTAACTCCTCTTGTAGCTAATCTACCCTTCTTTGATTATCTTATTCTTTGATTATCGTTTTTTCTGATCTTTCCAACCTCTAATTTTTTTTTTTTTTTTTGATATAGTACTCAGTGTACGAAACTCCCGCTTAAGCGAGATCTAGGGAATGATTGATGTACACAGCCTTACCCTAGCAAACAGAGAGGCTGTTTCCATGCTGTAACCACCAGGTCTCCAAGGGGTAGCTTTACCACTACGTCACGTTCGCCATTCAATCATAATTATATAAAATAAAAGATAAAAAAATTTAAAATCTAAGAAGACAAAAGAAAGGAACATTTAAATTTAGGGTTCATAAACTTATTCTGATATATTTATTTCATTGTAATTATTTCAAAATGATTTGCCGGATTTGGACTCTTTGGTGATTTATCGGTCTCATATCGCACATTGTGAGATTAGATTCAGAGCCGTGGCATTGAGTCTGAACTGTGGTAGCTCAGAGAACAAAACGAGAATTCGCGCGCCCCTCGCCCGGAGGCCACGCGCCGACATTCGATGAGTTCCCGGGAGTGCGTCCACAGCGCTATCACAAATGAAAGCATCATCAACACCCTCAACTTGTGTTTGACTACGAGATTGGAAAACCATTGTATTTGGAATAATTTCACATTCAATATCATCTCTACACAAAACCCCTTCATCGCCACCGCCTTCAAATTGCATACCATTGTCGTCCACAATTGTTACAACCTCGGTGGTTTCGTCTTGTTGGAACACACTATTGAGAACATCATCAGGTACACCATCCATCTCTGGCACATTCCAGATTCCTCGATGGTGGAATCGTTCTACAACTTTCCAATTCCCACCTAAGTTGGTATCATTAACGTAGAATACTTGTTCTACTTGAGCTGGGAATATGAAGGGGTCATGTTCATACCATCGACTTTTTACATCAACACTTGTGACATGTGTATCCATGAGACAAGTCTTCTTGCTACCGGTGTTATACCATTCACATTTATACAAAACAACTCGATGTCTAAACAAATATGTCATTTCCCACACTTTGCTCAAGTAACCATAGAAATGCATTGAATGACCCTCATGCTCCCCTTCTACAACTAACCCACTATTTTGAGTTTTACAACGGTTATCACGGTCAATGGTATGAAATCGAACACCATTAGAAACACATCCCGAATGTGTGTTGACTATTGCACTAGGACCGTTCGCCAACGACCACAATTCATCGGTTGCTTCCGGCGACCCTTGATTCCGCAACTGATTTATCTACATAACCAATACTTGTTATGTTACTTTCTTGAAGCTGATTATAGCATAATGTGCTCAAATGTTTGATAAATAGATGTCTTACACATTCTTTGAACCACTTAGGAAATTCATCTCGTTGCCTCTTTGTGGTGTCACAAGTACTTCCATTTTGCAAAATGTTCTTGTGTTCCCTAGTTAATAAGAAGAGTAGATAAGTAAGAGAGATAATTACGAATAATTGGACAAACTTAAATTTGCTCTGTAAATTCTTTCTACTATGAAAACTTACTCTACGTACTGTTCCACTTCAAAGCTATTGTACAAGACAAACCAGTGAGCAATCTCTCGTTCGTTGACAGACACATCTGGTGCCCTACTGATTAGACCAAATGGACGAACATTTTGAGAGAAGATGGCTAACCCTGAGCCGTGGTCACCACCGTCATCATTCCTTTCTTCTTGATTAAACATTGTTTCAATTCCATCAAGATACATCGAGCAGAAAGTTATACACTCTTTGGAAAAGTATGCCTCCGCAATTGAACCTTCCAGATGAGCTTTATTGGCAACAAATCCTTTTAGAGTTCCAAGTAGCCTACAAAAGGAAAAAATTTTATTATGTCCATACTAAACAACAATATGGACTACCATTAACAGTTGATGAGCGTGATATGGTAAGAGCATAAATAATTACCGTTCAATTGGGTACATCCATCGATATTGCACTGGCCCTCCAAGTATAGCCTCGCGCGGCAACTGAACAACCAAGTGAACCATGACATCAAAGAAAGCTGGAGGGAAAATCTTCTCAAGCTTGCAAAGTACAAGTGCGCTTTGATCCTGTAGTTTCTCTAAATCTGTCACCTTCAACGTCTTTGAACACAATTGTTGAAAGAAATTTCCTAACTCAAAAAGAGTTGTACCAATTGCATTGTTAAGATACCCACGCATCCCAACCGGAAGTAGTCGTTGTACAAGCACATGACAATCATGACTTTTGAGGCCTGAGATTTTGCCACTGTCAGCATTCACGCAATTGGAGATGTTTGCTGCATAACCGTCAGGATACTTGATTGATTTCAAAAAAGCATAAAAGCCTTGTCTTTCATTCGTGGATAATGTGTACACAACTGGCGGCTTCACAAATGACCCATCTCCACGCCTCTGTAGGTGTAACTCCTTCCTAATTTTTAAATTTGCCAAATCAATCCGTGCTTTTTCTGTGTCCTTGTTCTTCCCATCAACATTTAATAGTGTTCCCATCAAATTGTCACAAATGTTCTTCTCTATGTGCATGACATCAAGGTTATGTCGAAGCTTAAGCGTCTTCCAGTAAGGCAACTCAAACATAATGCTTCTCTTTGTCCAATTGAACACTGGATTTTCGTCCCTTTGTCTTTTCCTGTTATTTGGATGTTTTCCAAATGGCTTGTATGTCCCAGTCTCAATCTGCTCTAATAGTTGCTCCCCTGATAACTCCACAGGTCTGCACCTAACCTCACTTTGTCTGTTAAACAACTTGCTCCTTCGCTATCTGTGGTTCTCGGGAAAGTAACGACGAGCACCCATGTACCCTCTCTTACTTGTTAACCTTTGTGATGATGCGTCCTTGCTACACATGGGACAAGCCAAATAACCTTTGGTTGTCCACCCGGACATGTTACCATATGCAGGGAAGTCGTTGATGGTCCACATCATTGCAGCATGCATTGTAAATAATTGTTCGTTTTTGGCATCATAAGTTTGCACCCCATCCCCCCATAACTCTTTCAACTCATCAACTAATGGTTGTAAGTAAATATCAATATCTCTTCCAGGTGCCAATCGTCCAGGAATAAGCAATGACATCATAGAGAAAGGCTCTTTCATATACTTCCACGGTGGAAGGTTGTAAGGCATTAGGATAGCGTGCCACATACTGTATGATGTGCTCATATTTCCAAATGGATTGAAACCATTGGTGGCAAGCCCTGGCCTTACATTTCGTGGATCCATGGCGAACACAGGATGTTGCCAATCAAACTCTTTCCATGCCTCAGCATCAGCCGGATGCCTCAATATTCCATCATCCAGACGTTTCTCCTTTTGCCATCTCATATCTGTAGCGTTTTTCTTGGACATACACAATCTCTTCAATCTTGATGTCAACAGAAAGTACCTCAATATCTTATGAGGGATCTTCTTATCCTTTTCGTTGTCCAACTTGTATCTAGGCTCTTTACACTTGGGGCAATTATGAAGATTTGCATTCTCCTTCCAAAATAATGCACAGTCATACCTACATGCATAAATGGGAACGTAGCCCAAACCCAAGTCACGTAAGAATTTTTTGGCGGCATATATGGTCCATGGAACAGTCTCATCCCACTCAGGTAGAGTAGCCTTGAAAACTTTCATAACCATATCAAATGAGTTATTGCTCCACTTGTTGTACACCTTAATGTGAAGCATCTTAATAACAAATGACAACATAGTGAAACTTGTGCAGTCCAGGTATAGTTTACGTTGAGCATCTTCAAATAATTTATCAAAGTTGCGCCCCTCCACATTCTCAAAACTAGCAGGTAATTCGTCCCCTTCCTCATCCATTGCAAAACCCCTGCAAACCTTTTCCAACATTGTAGGCAAATCATCCCCGATATCCCGATCTTCCACTACAATTTCACTATATATGACATGGTGACCTTCATTCGGTATGAGAGGTTGAGCCACAGGAACAAGTTCCCCATGGTGCACCCAAGTCTTATAAGAAAGAGATATCCCTCTTCTAATCAAATGAATCTTTACCACGTGGCTTGTATGTATTTTGTCGTTAAAGCAATCGATACATGGACACCGAATCTTATCCTCGAAGCCTACATTTATCTTCACAAATTCAATAAATGAATTCACCCCTTTTTGATACTCCCTACTACTTAATCTATTTTTTATTGTCATCCAACCCTTGTCTATTTGGGCCATTTGAAAGGTTAAAGACAACCATTACATTAATTAGGGTTTGAAAAGAGAAAGTGTAATAAACTACCCTAGACATGCTAAACGTTTATTTTCTACGTGAAAAAAAATGGGCTCATTTGGTGGTTTTATAGCCTGCTAATATGGCCCTAGAAAAGGCCAAGCAAATGGCCAGCAACAATAGCAATAATAAAGTATTGACTTTCATAATTAATTATTTTTGTCAATGCTAGTAACATAATTCATAAAGTAGTTTAGGTGAAATCTATGATTTTAGTGACATATGAATGTGTATGGTTCTAAAGAAATGAAGAAACTTCATTCATAAACATCAATGCACCTTATGACTCCAAAAATAACACTCACAAGAAACTTCATTCATAAACATCATTCATAAACATCAATACATAAGTAAGAAGAATAAGTGAACAATACGCATGCGTGCATTTAAGTATGAAAAAATTTCTTTTCGGCCTATGTGGACATATGTTTGGATTAACTTGCAATTAAAACAAGAGTTGATAAGTCAAGTTTTCTGGTACTAGAAATAGTGATAATTCAAGTTTTTAGGAACTCATTTCAGGGGATTGTTTGCTTCATTTCATTGAATGCTTTGGTCTGTGCTGCTTGATCTGAAGAAAATGACACATGTTGAAGACATAATAATTTGAAAGGTTGATCACTATGATTCGAAATGGTGATCAATACTTCAACAAAGCATTCAAACCAAATGACCACTATGATTCGAAAGGTTTTCTCTGGAAGAACTGAACATTTCAAACCAAATGACCACCTATGCCATATAGCCTCATTGCAAACTGTTGATTATTTCATGACCTAGTCAGATTTAAATAATTCCTCTTATTTTCAGATGTATAATTAGGTCACAAAAGTAAGGTAATATGTAGGAATTTTTACTTTTGTTGACTAGGCAAGACAACAAGAATTGAGCCCCTCATATCAAAGTTGAGAGACCAACCAAATACCATTTGGCCTACAAGGCCAGTGAGTAGTGTAGCACCTAAGAACCTATTACAAAAAATATCTATAGCTTTGGTCATCTGTGTGCACTGAACAACATAACATTAAATGTTTGTGCTGCTGTATCATTTATGTTGTTGATCTTTCCACTCTTACATAATTGAGAACTATTCCTCTTCATTTTAATGACTGAACATGGTTTTGAGCAAGCTTGAAATTGCTCTGAGTTGTGTAGAAGTACTTTTGGCTGTAGATATGTTCATACCTATAAACCTGAGTTAATCTTTGTATTATGCCATTGATTAAGTATTTCACCAAGTTGTTTTTGGCTCTTGAAGCTGGCTTAGTGTTAAGCCATGAACAGAGCTGCTTATGCAATAACCTGCTCATGCATCCCACCACGTATAACGTGTTTATTTTGGTTTGTTTGCTAGAAACTCTGGCGATTCAAGTTGAAATCGAAGTCCCCCTGATACTTTCGTGGTGCTTATGAACTGAAAAGGGGGAAGTAAGGAGCTTTTGCCATTCTTATCTCTCACCTATAAGATCACAAGATGGTGTTGCAATGACACTAGTCACTTCGAAAGCGAGAGGTCTAGCCATGTTTATCAAATTGCTGAGATAGATCGACCCTTTGAATACCAATCAAGAACACATCAGGGAAACTTTGTTTTTGAGAAGTCTTTAAGAGATGGGTGAAACCTCACAGGAAGAATTGAGTTCTAGAACTTGCACATACAAGTCATGTTACACTGTTGAATGAAACCTCAAAAGAATGGTGATCAACGCGTTACACTGTTGAATAAAACCTCAAAAGAATGGTGATCAACACTTCAACAAAGCATTCCCAGTTGGAGCCAATAAAACAAAATAACAACAGAATCCACAAATTACTTGAACCCTAGACACAATGGCAACTATTTTTTTACAGAACAAACAAGAATATACATATATATACATATATATATATATATATCAGTTTTCATTTTTTGCATTATCTGGAGAGTATGATTTTAGTCCATCCCATTAAACATTCACTCAATAGGGTTTTAAAATTAGCGATTTTCAAAAAAATTGGTTTTGACAATTAGGGAAAACAAAGGAAAATAGAGAAATTGAGTGACAGAGAGAGAGAGGACCCATACCTGATGTTGGGGTTGTTTGAAAATAAGCGAACTGGTTATAGCAGAAAAATGGTGATGGTGGTGCTGTTAGGTGCGAAAAGATAGAGCAACCATGTGAGTAAGAGGAGTAATGAAACACAACTACAAAGATTGAGAGAGAGAGAGAGAAAGAGAGAAAGAGAGAGAGAGAGAGAGAGAAATACATACCTAACAATGGAGGCCCAAGTACTTCTTGAAGCGCCGCTGATGCTTGGTCGAAAAATCGACACAGGCGACTGCGATGACGGAGGAGGAGCGACTTTGTTGAGCACAATCGAGCAGGAGAATCGACGATGAGGTGCGTATAAGGAGTGGTGGGCGGGAGTGACTGTATAAAGAGTTTGAAAAATTCACTCAGCTGATAGGGCAATTTTTTCCCAACAAAACTGTTTGGTCGGTATTGAATCAATATTTACTTAAATAACATTCAAAACGGAGTCGTTTTAAGATCTGCGACCAATTTTTTGGTCGCCAAAAATTTTACAGATGTTTCCAATATTATCAACTCATTTTTTTTTTAGATGTTTCCAATTTTGAAATTTTTTTTGTTTTTGTTATGTGGGCATATACAAAATGTATTTACGTAGTAGTTTAAACCAATAGTGTAGTACGAAATCTTATGGATTGAATATAATTAAGTCATTATTTTGAAGTAGTTGACAAACTATTTAGTGTAATTTGTGATTTCTCATATTTTGAGCATCACATAGGCAACATCATATGGTACTCGAAGACTATGTAATAATTTACGTTCAAAACACATCATTTATAACCAATAAGATCTGTTTAATATTTTTTGTCAAATAAAAATTAAATAGATTTTATAATATTTTGTGCTATAAATGGTGTATTTTTATTTTCTAAAATTAGGAATTTTGAAACCTGGTAAATTTTTGTGCCAAAATTACAAACTTATATTACCATCCCGCACTGATGTATTACACACTATTATAGAATTTTGATTTGTTCCTATTAATAATGATTTTTAATTTGTTATGCTTAAATTTAGCTCATAAAATTATTCTTATCTTAATATTGATCATGATTTTTTTTACAATAACAAATTATAATTAATAACTGCCCCCTCTAACTTAATTTCATGGCTTCGCCACTGGCCACCGCAACATGAAGCCCATCTCCAATCGAAGTAAACAAAGTCGAAAAGCCAGCAGTGGAGGCTCCACCAGCTCTAATCCCCAGCCTAAGAATAAGATCAAGCATGGTCGGCTTGTTTCCATAGAACAACGATGGACCCACCATCAAATTAGTCAAACTGATGGCAGCTCAATCGATGTGGAGCCCTAGCCCTAGCCTATAGCTATTGATGAGTTGCTCTGTGGTATCACCACCACAAGGCTTACAGTCATATGTGCTAATCGAGATCTAGGTATGAATATTTTCTTGGGTAAACTACCAATAGGTCCTAATAGTTGGACTTAATTCCCATCAAGTCCTGTAGAAAATAAGTCTTGGTAAAATTGTCACTAAAAATAATTTTTTCGTGACAATTTTTAATATATGTCACTAAAAATTGACAATTAGTGACTTTTTTTGGTCATGATTTTTATAAATTGTCACTAAAACTTACAATTAGTGACTTTTTTTATGACAAAATTTTCCCATAGGACTTATTAGACAATAAGTCCACCTATTGGGATCTACACGTAAGTAGCCCTATTTTCTTCAATGGGTTGGGTCTGTAGGAGATATAGAATGATGGCTTCGACAATGAAGGGTGATGGATAAATGGCTTGAAGGAGTTCTCACTTCTGGCCACACCAACCCTTTCAACTCCAAGGTTGATTTCTCAATCAAGATCAATACGATTTTTATCAGTGGAGGAAGATCGTGATAGATAAATGCCTCTTTTCTTCTTACTAGACTAGCTGTTAGGCCAAGACCGCCGGTGGTGTCGGCGATGGTGGCAAAGACATACAGAGCGCCTTGAGGGATTGAGATCGATGACCCACAAATGGGGAAGAGAGAGCTCCTTCAGATAAGCAAATTCAATTTTATACATTATGTTTTAGTCGCTAAAAATAAATATTTTGCAACCAAACTTTTGGTCAGCAAAGACAAAAAGTAATTTTTATTTTTCATTCAGCGACTAAATTATTTTAGTTGCCAAAACTATCTATACAGCGACTAAAATATTTTTTAGTCGCTGAAATTAAATTTTTACTGACCAAAAATTTGGTCGCCAAAGATAAAAAATAAATTTTTATTTTTCATTCAGCAACTAAATTATTTTAGTTGCCAAAACTATCTATACAGCGACTAAAATATTTTTTAGTCGCTGAAATTAAAGTTTTGCCAACCAAAATTTTGGTCGCCAAAGATAAAAAGTAAAATTTTCTTTTTCATTCAGCGACTAAATTATTTTAGTTGCCAAAACTATCTATACAGCGACTAAAATATTTTCTAGTCACTGAAATTAAAGTTTTGCCGACCAAAATTTTGGTCGCCAAACATAAAAAGTAAATTTTTCTTTTTCATTTAGCGACTAACTTATTTTAGTTGCCAAAACTATCTATACAACGACTAAAATATTTTTTAGTCGCTGAAATTAAAGTTTTGCCGACCAAACTTTTGGTCACCAAAGATAAAAAGTAAATTTTTCTTTTTCATTCAGCAACTAAATTATTTTAGTTGCCAAAACTATCTATACAGCGACTAAAATATTTTTTTGTCGCTGAAATTATAGTTTTGCCGACCAAAATTTTGGTCGCCAAGGATAAAAAGTAAATTTTTCTTTTTCATTCAGCGACTAAATTATTTTAGCTGCCAAAACTATCTATACAGCGACTAAAATATTTTTTAGTCGCTGAAATTAAATTTTTGCCGACCAAAATTTTGGTCGCC